GTATTTTGTAGCTTTCATTATCATAATGTGATGTGCTGCAAATTGAATATCTTTACAGAAAGCTTAGAACAGCATGGCATTTCCTACTAAGATAGCCTACTGACATGTTCCAAATAATCTTATCAATTTCTGTATCTGTGATGATAACAAAATGTCATTATGCAATATGTTAGTGCTTATAAAGCACTAAGTACATAGGATATTTTAAACCTGAAAGATGAGTTCATGATGAGTGAGATTTAAATAACCATATTTTTAATACTCTCAATGTGTAAGTAAATTTGATTTCTTCATGCTACACACATTTCACAGCCATCAAAAATCCTTCTTTCCTTTAAGATCATCATTTTATTTCTGAAAGTAGGGAAATATATTAAAGAAAGAGGATTCCTTAATAATAACACTTCCAAAAGTGTATGTTCATAGATTTATATATAGATAAGACCACTGCAGGTAAGTACACATTTTACCTAGATGGAAAAATAAATGAAACATTTTCTAAAAATATGTGCAAAAATCGTTGCTCTAGCAAATAATCTGAATAGATTTCTAGAAACAAAAACCCTTTTAACTGCTCTTCTCACATTGGTTAGTTAACATGCTTAGATCTTTTTTTAAAATATATTTTTATTGATTTCAGAGAGGAAGGGAGAGGGAGAGAGATATAGAAACATCAATGATGAGAGAGAATCATTGATCAGACACCTCCTGCACACCCGACACTGGGGATTGAGCCTGCAACCTGGGCATGTGTCCTGACTAGGAATCGAACCGTGAACTTCCACTTCTTAGGTCCATGCTTAACCATTGAGCAACGCTGGCCAGTCCATGCTTAGATCTTTTATACAGTAAATATTCTAGGTAGATTTTTTTATATTTTCATTCTTAGCAGACTATTAAATAAAAATCACATTCTTAATTAAATCAGTCATTTAATTATCTTTAAAAATCATGAAAAATCTCTGTTGGATTTTATTTAATACAAAGTTAAATCAGCAAAGGTGGAGGTGGAGGTGGAAGAGGTTATAGGGGTCTAAATGGTGATGGGAAAAAAGAAAAGAAAGCAAACAAAAACAAAGCTAAATCAGCAGTTTAGTAAGCTCACTGATAATAAATAATGAGCTCAAACATTTCAAAAACTTTTTGGACATCTTAAAGTATATCTATTTTCTTCAATGGAAAAGATAATTTCTGCTGGCCATAACACAAAAGTCTTTATTAGTTACATGATTACATGCAGTAATCATAAAGTACTGCATGATTGAGCTGATCATGACATTTCAATCTGCTATTTGCATATGTACACAATCTAAACTAATTTTAGTTTAAACTTAAAACTTATTTGCTGTGGGATGCACAGAATAGTAACAAATAAAAATTAATAAATAAGAAAATTAATCCATAATTCTAATACTTTAACAAATCAAATCAATTTCAGTTTTTAGGGCATCTTAGCATTCTTTGTTCTTACGCATACATAGACTTTTTCTGACAGTATAGGTAAGTTTTGGTTTTTAAATAGTCATAAAGTTTTCATAAATATAATGAAAATAAATAAATTATATATGTTACCATAACTTAATGTATCACTTCCCCACTCTTAGATGCTACCTTTTTCATCCCCACCTTCAACCCATGATTTTTGGTACTACCATCAAGTACCAACATTTTCATTTATGAGTCTTTCCCCTTTATTTGTGATGTTTCCTCCTTCAGATAAATTAGTTTAAATATAGACTTACAGACATGAATATTTTGGCTTTTATATTTCCAAGTGCTTTCTAAATTTCACTACCACCAATAGCAACAATATATGTACCTATGATTTGCACTGCTACCTTCACCAGCACTTAAGTATTAGTATTTTTCATTGAATAAAGGAGCACTAATTTCATAGAGATGAAATTTCCATGATTATTGAGTTGTATTGATTTTACAGAGAGGAAGGGAGAGTGAGAGAGAGAAACACTGATCAGTTGCCTCCAGAACGTGCCCTGACCGGGAATCAAACTTGCAATCTTTCAGTGTATGGGACGGCACTCCAACCAACTGAGTCACATGGCCAGGGCTCATAAGTATTGTTTTAATCTTTATTATTACCATTGTTATAAGATGCTTAAAATATTTTCTAATCATATTTTCCATTATATAGATCAGTGATGGTGAACCTATGACACACGTGTCAGAGGTGACACGCGAACTCATTTTTTTGGTTGATTTTTCTTTGTTAAATGGCATTTAAATATATAAAATAAATATCAAAAATATAAATCTTTGTTTTACTATGGTTGCAAATATCAAAAAATTTCTATATGTGACACAGCACCAGAGTTAAGTTAGGGTTTTTCAAAATGCTGGCACGCCAAGCTCAAAAGGTTCGCCATCACTGATATAGATTATCTTTAGAGTGTGTGTCTTAATATTTATTGAAAAAATGTATTTTTTAAAACTCTATCTAGAAAGTAACTTATATCATATTAACTGCAAATATTTTTTTCCGATATGGATTGTTTTACTTTTAAGCTTTTTTTGTAGTCGATAAGTTTAATATTTTTATATTATTAAATGTGTTAAGTATATTGCAATGTGAGATTTTTCTGTTACTTCAAGGCTCATATAATGATTTACTAAATGTCTGGAAAATATGCACCTTCCTCCATGATATTTTTTTTTTTTAAAGAAAATTTATCTAATTAATCCATCTGGAATGTATTTTGGTATATGTTGTGAGATGTGTATCTAAGTTACTTTATTTTAAAACTCTATTAAATTTATTAAATACTCCTTTCCCTTCCCATTGTTTTATAATGCTCTATTTTTATATATTAAATTCTTTTATATAACATGTTGAGATTTTCCATACTTTCTTAGATCTAGCCAGTATCAAAAAAGTTAAATTATATAATTTTCTCCTATGATTTGATGTCTGGAATGGCTTTTCAACATTTATGGATTCTTTAAAAAAAATATCCCTTTATTCTTATTAGCTTATTTTTCCAAATAGATTTTATCATTCTATCACCTTCTAAGAAAATCCAGTTGAGAATTTTATTGAGATCATACTCTTATATTTATAAATTAATGTGAAAAGCTTTACTTATCATAATAACCAGAAAGGTAACCTCTCTTCACTAATTCAAGCATTCGTTTATAACTCACTAGAGGCCTGATGCATGAAGATTCATGGAAGAATGGGCCTTCCTTCCCCTGGCTGCCAGCACCGCCTTCGCTCCTGCTGGAGCTGCCTTTCTGCCTTCCCACGCTGCACAGAGGCCTGGAGCGGTGCTGAAGGCCTGCGCGATGACGTCAGCATCCCGCCCGCCCCCAGCCACTGGCACCTGCGTATGCAATTTAACCCGCCATCTTTTTTGGGGTTAATTTGCATACTCACTCCTGATTGGCTGGTGGGTGTCACGAAGGTGGGGTCAATTTGCATCTTTCTCTGTTATTAGTGTAGATAATGAATATTTTAAAGATATGTTCAATATTATATAATTAAGGGGCAGAATGGGATAATGAAAAAGTTGAAGACTATGGAGTGGGACAAATATATGTATCTCTAGGTTCAAATCCTGTGTGATTTGGGGCAAGATGTTTAGCTTCTCTGAGCCTCAGATGTATCCTATGTACATTGAAGGGAGTGGTACTACTACGATGGCTATCTAAAGCCATTGGAGCATAGCATATATACGATAAATGTTAGCTATGATTTTTTATTATAGCATGTGTTTAGAATTTGACATTTTACAAAGTTCTTTCATGTGTTTCTATCTCATCTGCTCTGTTGATCTTCACAAAACCGTGTTAATTGATAATGTCATTGTTATTATCACTATTAATATTAAGACAAAATTGGTAAAATTACTTCTTTTGAATCAGAAACATAAGATCATATCCTCATAACATATGTAAATGCATTTAAATCACCTACATCACACAATAACCTTGTCCCTAAATATTTTGAGATTTTTCCCATTATAATAGTTGCAATTGCTCTTTTACTATAATTTCTTTTATTATCATTATTTTTTTCTTTCACTATAATTTTGATTAGTTTTGTTTATTTAAATAAACAATGTTGACTTTAGTATATTTGTTTCATGTTCAACAGTTTTATTGAGTCCCTTATCTCCTTTTAAAAATATGGTTAATTCTTTCGGTTTTCTGGGTTGTCATATTTTCAAAATAATTCTATATTATAGAATCATATTAACATACTCAGCCACTTAATTGAAAAAAAACAACTAAGACTAGTTATCTATCATGATATCATGATATATTACAATCTGCCTGTTAGAAACAAAAATTCTATTTATGAGATTATTTATCTGTTACTAGTAAGTTTCCTTTAGCTTGTAGGTTGTATTACTTTATGAATTTTTCTCATCATTCTTTCAAACCTCATAATACCTTGACTGATAGGAAGACATGATGTTACAGTGTAGAAGAAAAGGAATCAAAGAGAAACCACACTTTATTTTCTTCTTCTTAATGGTTTTTAAATATTATTCTTGGGGATGAGAGAATAAAGGGATGAGTAGGAAAGAGGACTAAACTGCATGTACTTGCACACTTGGGAGATTTTTGCTGTTTTTTTTTTTCTCTTAATGCATAGCTGGCTGAGCTCCTTTTCATCCTAACCTAGACCTTCAATTCCCCAGAATATTGTCAGGTATAGGAGGATAAATTATTTTGTGCCTTTACTTGTCTTTTCCCATCTACTCCCAGAGTAGAGTGCTTCCTTCAAAAAGTAATAATAAAATGTCTTTTTTTTCCATTGAATCAGTTGGTCAACAAAACCAAATAATCCACTGCCAACAGCAACCTAAAGGAATCCACTGTTGCCGCCAACATATTTCATTTTTACTTAAGCATGATTTGTTTTTAGATCAATTATAAAAAAAATGGTAATGAAGGCTAAAAAAAAAATGACCAAGCTGATACAATTATTTTCACTGCAGACCCAGACAATTGGCTTCAGGTAGGGATTCTGTACTCACGGGGGAAATGATTAGAGGTGGATGGATTGACACTGTCCCCACTGTCAGCACTTTCACTGCTGGAAACTTCATCATCAGATTCCCGCACGGAGGAGCAGGGCGAGGAGCCGTCAACTTCTTCAAACTTCCTCTTTAAAATTCCACTCATAGCTGCAGCGCTGTCACATGTACCTGGAACAGGAATGGGAGCAACGAAGCGTTGAAATATGTGACCGCTGGATGTGCAGCCAAGGTCCCTAGAGTCATGTCTAAGTGGCTTTTTATACATGAGCTTTACCTTGGAAAGATCACCAAGCAGGTTTTAAAAAAAAATATCTTCAAATTAACAAAAATGACTTTACATTAAATATGGGCATTTGACCATTTGCTTACCAAAATGTACCATTTTTTTGGACATAGTTCCTCTTATTGGAATACCTCTATTCCCTTTTGTTGGCAAATTAAGAAAATCCACCGGAGTCCATGAAATTCTGTAATGAAAATAAATGCCAGTGTCCCCCAAAGTCTTAAATGATTACTGCTTGTAAAAAATTCATCTGGAAGAAACACAGATAAGTATGCACAAATGCCATGCTCAAGTTTTGAAATGGAAGAACCTAATTAGCTGAGTACAGTGAAGCATATGAAACCAGCGCTAAATTTTAGGTAGTTTCCATTTAAATATTGCAATAAGGTGCAATGTGTCCCCATGATACCTGCTTGCTGAAGCTGTTGCCACTGTTTCAGGAACTATCTAAGGTTGTTTACCTGGGAGATAGCACTAATTGGTGAGGGGTGGGGTGAGGGCATGGTTTCTCTTAAGTCCTTTCTCTAGGATGAATGGGCTTTCCCTTCTTCCTGGGGCTTTCTGCACCTTCCCCATTTACCTTGACGTATGTACAGTCAGCTAAAGGACAGAAAGTTTCCTTGCAGTGAAAGGATATTTTGGAGAAAACCTATGTATAAATTAGCTTAGACGTGTGTACTTGGCTTTACATTGCTAAATTAGATTAACTTATCTGAAAGTGTTATTAAGTCGATCCCATGCATTCTATCTTCCATCCCATTTGTCAGCTCATTTGAATTCTCATTTGAGTTATTGAAGCCATCTCCTTCTCTTGCCAGAGCATAGCCATTAGCCCTTTGATCAGGAGGAAGCAAGACCCTTAAAGCTATTCTGAAGCCCACTTAGTTACATTATCCAGCTATTGCTCTCAGAAATCTCTGAACTTACCCCTCCTCTGCACAGATCACAGAGCAAGCAGCTTACCTAGATCCCCTCAGCTGGGCCAGCTCTTCAACACCTAATTCAGTAGTTTTCTTTCACAGAGGGCTACTTGGATTAGCAGCCTCAGCATCACCCAGGAGGGAGACTGTTAGAATGCAAATTCTCAGGCCCCTCTCCAGCTCATCTGAATCAGAAACTCCCAGGGGGCGGGGCCTAGCACTCTGTGCTTCAGGAAGGCTTCCAGGTGATCTTGATGAGCACTCAAACTGGAGGACCACTTGTCTCATTCTAGTCTGCTCTCCAGCAGCTTCTCCCTGGACTTGTCCTTTCTTGGGTATGTCCACACACCAGCCCTAGAGAGTCACATAACCCAGCACTCAATTCCTAGTCAAAAGGCCATCCGTGATGTGATTTCTAGTGAAATTATTAGACATGTATGAGATGTCTCCTAAGTCTATCACTGATTTCAATGTACTCCACTCACCTACACATGTGTTGAGGAACTGGTATGAATATGTTTGACTCCTTGGGTGGAGTAGGGGATATAAAAGGGAGTAGAATATGTTACTTGCCCATCCACTATGCTGAGCTCCATCGAATTGTGAACACTCCCAAATTCACGTTCTGCAGCCTGTTCTAGTAATCCATGTCTTTTTGCACTTACATTAACAATGGAGAAAACTGATCGCAATAAGACGATATTGCATTGTCCACACTTTTGAGAATAAAATCTTTATTCTTACTCTTATTTTACCACTATTCAGATTAGTATATTATTTTCTCCAGCTAAAAGAGTGTGAAATGAATAAAGTGTTCATGCAAATCTGAGCATGGAAAAGAGAAAGATATTTTAAGTAAGTTCTTAAAATAAAAGTAGGACGGGATATACATTTTAAAATGGTTCACTTCAAACAAGATGCAAAGAAATTCATGAGGGAGAAACTCCAAGACACAAAGTAATACAAGATGAAAACCTATTTTTTAAGTACATTTTTATAATAAAATATTGCAATGGGAACAGTTAAAAACCACATCATTAAGCTTCCCCAGCTTCCTTAGGAAAGGCAGGGTCCTCAAGACACTAAATTGGGCCACAGGGAACCATGTTCCAATATGGTGAGATGAGTACCTTTGTCACTTCCTCAAGAATGAGAGGGGGAATCTTGGGAGGGGTGATAGAATTAAAAGTCATTTCCCCCTTTGTTATTACATTTGGAACCTGCAAGACTTTAAACCATGGAGTTGAAGGTTGGATATAATTTCTATATACATTTTCAGGAGTGAAAAAGCCTAAGCTAGACCCATGTCAAAGAAAAAAAAAAAAGGCACTGCCTGCTTAGAGTAGAATTAGTGCCTAGGCTTAAAATAAAAATGTTAAGTAATTACAGGAGGGCATAACCTTATACCCATGAAATTGGTTAAGTGCTAAATTACTTGTGCAACAACCAAGCATAATATCTATCTGGTTTCACTGCCTTTTAAAAAAATGTGAGTGTAACAAGATGTCATCACAAATTGTGAGGGTCAAATGACCTACTGCTTACCAGTATCTTAACCTTGGTTTAGACCTAATAGTGGAGTGGTTTCCTGCTACATCATCTATACTATCTCACTAGGGAAGAAAAGAATACAAGAATTTAGGCAGAAGATAAAGCTGGGTAGGTATTCATTTATTTTAAATGTGAGCAACTGAAAATCTAAACCCCAATAACGGCCATATTTTACACAGCTACGGTTTTCCAATTCATAAAACACATGCTAGTCAAGGGCATCACCATTTCTCACTTGGACTAGGACAAAAGCCTCCTAATTATTTTTTTCCCCCATCCACTACTGTTTGCTTTCAATGTGTTTTCCAGGTTGCTGGCAGAAAGATAAATTTAACATGCAAATCTGATCATGTCAGTCTGTAGTTTAAAACTCTTAAGTGGCTTTGGATTGCCTTAGGATAAAGTCCGAAATCCTCAAATGGCTTATAAAATCCGTAACAGTCTATTTTGGCTAATCTCTTCATCTTGATTTTGAGCCACTGACCCTGTTGTCAATATTTTAGCTCGAATGATCTCTCAGTTTCTCCACCCTGCCATTTCTCTCTGGCAGCTAGGCCTTTTTCTTGGTTCATTTTAAAAATATTTCCCCATGGCACTCACCACTTTCTAAATCCATGTTATTTATTTATGTGTTTCTGCATAAAAAAACAATGTTTATTCTGTATTATTTTTGTCTTTAGCTAAAATATTTAAGGGCAAAGATCTTTGTTTTCTTTACTAGTGTTCCAGGGGTCACAGCCAATGCTTTATATATAATAGGAGATTAATAAATATGTGTTTGATGAATGAATGAAACCTTTCCATTTCCACAGTTCAATTTCTCTATCAGTGTCTCATTTCTTCACTGGACTGAAAGCTCCATGAAGCAGAAATCATGTTCATCTCATTCACCACTCTCTCCTGACTAACAATATATCTGGGTATATTTGATTGAATGAGAATCAAAATGAGAGATAACATTGACCTCAAAACGTCATATATATTTTTTTTGCTTGCAAGCAACCTAAAAGCCAATTCTAGCTAACTTAAGCACAAAGACATCTGTTGAAAAGATACTAAACTAGTTCATGCAATCTGAGACAGAGCTAAAACCTAAATGCATTCCCTCTGAGGAAATGTAGGAATAAGGACAGCTTCTAGGATTCTGACTAGAAATTCCTTGATCTTTTCTCTAAAGTGCTACTATTACCAAGTTTAAGCCCAACAACTGTTCTCTATGTCTTGCCTTTCAAGTTTAATGTTTCAAGGGGTGAAGAACGTTTTAGCCCACCTTGGGTCAGGTGCCAGGCTTTGATCGTTCAACTACATGACCAGTAGGCAGGGAGCCACCCAATTAGGTAATACCCCAGAGACTCACTCAGAGGCTTCAATAAGTTCAATTGCATTTCAAAGTCACTAGTCTCTCCTTGGCTAACACAGATTTATCTTATTTTTTCATTTATTAATATGGTCCATGATTTCACCACTTGGACAGCTTCCTCTTTTCCTGTGCCCACATGCCCTTTCTATTGTCAAATTTAATTGTCTACTTTATTTTAAAACTCTGTGATCTTGGATATCTGTTGTTGTTGATTAACATATAGACTTATTTCATATTTGTATTAGATGTAACCATTGCTCAGGAGCCTCTCAGCACATTTAATGAAAAGGTAGTAAAAAAGTATAAATGTTTCCAAATCAAGAAGTTAGATAAAAATGGACATTTCAATGCCTTTGGAAGAAGAATGGAAGCTAAACTTTGGGTAGCACTCTTTTGATATCCCAAATATTTCATAGCTTCCATAGGTAACACATTGAGCTCTTACTATCCCATTTATAGTCATCTAATGTTTAATTCTTTTTTCTTCTGACATTTGCCCCTATTTCCTGATGCTTTGCTATGTATTTTAAGAAAGTGACCACAGGAAAAATGCCTTAAGAATATCATGGATCCCTCAATTCTGAGGAGCAAGTCATCTGATTTGCAGAAAAACCACTTTAGGGTTGCCAGACTTAGCAAATAAAAATACGACACCCACACAAATTTGAGTTTGAGGTTAAAAAATACCATTTGGGATATATTTATACTTATTATTTGTTGTTTATCTGAAATTCAGATTTAATTGGGCATCCTGCATTTCATTTGACAACCCTAACTGGTGCTCTTGATTCTTGGTGAGAAAATAGAATGACTATGAAATCAACAAATACAGTTACATAAGAAATGCCACCTACCAACTGACTACCATACAAGAATATTTCTGTCCCTAACCAATCAGATTAAACACAGTAAATAAAACATTTACAATCATTAGGGTAAATCATAAATTTATCAAATAATTTACAAAAAAGGTGACAGGTGGGTGGTGGTTAATAGGTAATGGTCAGGCTTGGCCTATCACTGATGCAGAAAATATATATTTAAAAGGAGGTAA